CCATGGGCCCCCACCCCCGGAACATAGCGGCCCTGGGTGAGTTTTCTAAGGAGCGAAAGAAAAACTGAGATCTGAAAACGATAGAGCAAAATGTTTCGGAGCAAAATGATCTGATGATCTTAAAAATGAGCAAAATGATCTAAAAACAATAGAGCAAAATGTTAATAAGCGAAAAATTTTAAACCGGTAAGCTGCCCGTGTTTTCTCTGACGCACAGTGCATTATACTATATTATTCTAACAATGGCTGAGTAGGGTGCTTGAAAGTGTTTCCATTCCATAATTCCTTTGACTTTATCCTATTATTCCTAAAATTTCCCCCTATTATTCCCAAAGTTATTCCACATCAAGTCAAACCAAGACCACGAGAAAATAAGAACTTTATTAATATAATGGTCTATAAGTATCCTCAAGATTTTCAATTTTAGCTGAAATTTGCATAATGGTTAAAAAACAAATAATGCATAACATTATTACTCCAAAAATTCTACGTACACAAAGTATTCAGAGACGTCTACGTACACAAAGTATTCAGAGATGGTACACACATGCATGCCCTAGCGCCAGCCTGTGGGTGGACCAGGCACTGGTGAAAAACTTGTTCAACAGTTACATGTGTTTGAAACTTTATATTTTATACTTAATCGTCAGCCATAGTGACACACACATTATGCTGGAATTTCTTTTAGCATAATAGGGGATTTTTTCGAAATCGAGAGTAAAATAGGCAAAAGCAGGAATAATAGGGAAATGTGTCGGTATGATGTCATTGTGCCAATGTAAATTCCGTAATTAGCATATGCTGCATTATCCCTGGGGTATTCGTATATAGCGGCTGTTATATCCCGGGTCAATTCCCCAGTTATAAAAACATTTAGTTAATTCATAGTTAATAGAGGACAGGGTTTGGAAGGCCGGCAAACTTCAAAGGCTTTCGAGCTAATTAATTTCAGATGTTGGAAAGGTACGTCACGTGACATTTCGGGTGCATCAAATTCAGAAATTACTATAGCGTAGTATTACAGAAATATGATATTGTGCTTATAAATTTTAAAATAAGGCATTGTTGTTCTTGTTATGGCTTCGACAAGTTCGGCATACGATTCAGAAAGCAAAATTCCGGCACCCAATTCTGGGTGCTGGAGACGCAGATACAACGACGGAGGCGATTTTCATCAAACTATTTAGCTGCTGCAAATCAACGCGGATGAATTAACTGAAGAAATTCGCGTTCAGTTGAAGTAAGTCCTTTATACTGTGTCCAATTAAACAATATGTAGTGAGATGCCTTAGACTTAATATTTGACTGATATTTGTCGTTTAGATTGAAGGATTAAAGCAATTCCCGTGCGAATATCGACGCAGTATTTAGTAAGCACTCGACAAATTCTACAGCTAGTACTGCCAAAGGGAAAATCAAAACCCATGTTATATGACTAGTTATCACGCATATGAGAAGGCATTGTCGATCATTCGAGAGGTAGGGAAAAGGAAAGAATATTTTCATCCATGCAGAGAAGATATGAACGGTTGACTTTGCTAACCAGCAGATATTCTAAAGTTATTATAAACACTGAAGAAACTGCATGCTTTAATACCAGTAAATATCTTAATACTGTATATATAGACAATATAACGTAGATATGAATGTCTTAAATAGTAGGCCCTAAGGCTTACGTCCAATTGTCAATTACAAGTCCAGATATTGACCTACTATACAGTGATTCAATGTCTACTAACATGTGATTTGTTAGTTTTGATCATTCTGTCACATTAAAATAGAATGTTATTTCATGCCCATCCCACAGTTTCCAAGACCAAGTCTTATAATAAGACAAAGGAGATATCAAAGGAAATATCATAGAGAGGAAATATCAAATTTTGATATATCCTCGCCCTAAGGGTATTAAACTTTAATACTTCTTATTCCTCTCCAAACGCTTTGTACTGTAGACCAACTGTTGGATGCCAGAAGATGTTACCTATGTGCAAAGGATTATATACCCAGAAATATTTTTAATGTTTGTATTCTGCTAGTAAGTATCAGTGAAATCAGAAGAGCTTGGACCACCCAGCTTATGTTGCTGGGGAGGGGCCCTCAGCCCTGTGGGTACCAAATTCATGACTTAATGATATTGCTAGAATTGCTGAATCGTGCTTTAGAAAGCACACAAGAATTGGCAAACCTACTTCTTTACATGTTGATAAAGTTATTAAGAACGTCCAAGCTCCCCCATTAGCAAAAAGTTTGTGGAATGACATTGAGCAATCTAATAGCATTGCAGTATCAAAAGAATGCCAGTACGTCCTTGTGTTTTGAGAACATTGGTAAACTGTATGGCTGTTCAAAGTTTCAAATTTTGCCATTTGTCGTGCTCCAGCCCGATTTCTGGTTCTGAAAGGCCTGATTCTCAGGCAAAGAGTGCACGCCAAGCAGGCTGGTCATTTCATTGTTTAACTGCCCCACACTCAAAGGGCACTTTTTGCATCTTCTGAAAACTTGCGGGCCTTGGCCCTCTGGTTCCTATGCCCCTGGTTGACAGCCAATTTCAGATGTGAATAGTGTACTTATTCACTACATCAGTGTGCTCTGATTATTAGCCGTTGTTGTCCCTCAAACCATGATAACTCAAAGTTGAGCCTACCAATGTCTTGTATATTTAAAGTGACAGAAACAAAATTTTGTGTAATAGTGATTTACTGGAAATATTAGTATAAATTTTTACAAATTATTCAACTAAGGTATGGTAATAAATTGTTCTAGTCTCATTGTTCACCTATTCATTTATAATCTGTTTTAATAATTATTTTATAACATATGTACAAATTATTGCATATTACTCTTTTGAAGCAGTGCTGTCATTAAGTTTACAAGTAGGTGGCCGAAAAATGATTGAACATTGAAGGCAGAAGACTCCTAGAGGGGTCTGGGTGCATGCCCCTAACCCGAAATCTAAACAATCAGAAATGCCATTCCCTGCATTTGGGAAGGTATTTTACACATTCCCTGCATTTTGGAAGGTATTTTACAGAGTTCTTAAGATTACAAAACATCCTATCAAAGCCTGACCTGTTTGAAATAATTTAATCTTTTGTTTTAATTTTGATGTTCTGACTAGAGGAAGTAAAAGGTTTGTTTATTGCTTCACAGTTTTGTTTATATGAACTTTGTTCAGACAAAAGTAGGCAAGCTACAGGCCCTTAATGACAACTCTGGGTACAAAAAACCCACAAAAGTTCTCACTAGATTACTTCTTCTGTTTTATGTTATGGCAAGGCCTTTTCTAATCCACCATACCATTTACCCGTGTGACGACCAGCAACGTTACCTGGCTCCAATTGTCGATGTAGAGAGGTATGCTTTTCTCAGGTAAATTAAAGGTAGGAATAGCACCAGCTACAAGCCTTTTGCAGGGTGGGAACTAAAGCAGAACATAAAATACCTGATTATATATACTGTAAGTTGACTTAATTTATACAAGTATTGGTAAGATAGTAATTATAATAAAATTCACAGCAACCACGATTTATAATAACTGTAAATGGGGCTTTCATATACTATGACATGCCCAAACAAAAATCCTGTTACTTTATTATGCCACTGTCTTGCTATTAAAATAGCCTTTGAATATTGTATAATACTTTGTTTACTGTATACGAAAATGTTTCTACTGTCCTCAGGCTCAGTGACAGTGTCCTGAATTTATGTATACCTTCATTTTATGAACACAAGGATTAACTGTTATACAAATATGACCTAATGACCGAAACACACTTTTATGCAAATCATTATTATTATATACACAAGGTCTGGATATGAGATATTCTGCAATCTGATTGGTTCTCTACTAGCAGGATATTAGCTAATATCCTGCTAGTAGAGAAAAACAAAATGGCGGCCAAACTGAAAAAAAAGCAAAAAGCAAAGTCTGTGAATTCAGACCTTGTGTTATTCCACTCACTCTCGTCGAATATGAACGATAGCCGATTCGGCACTATGCGCCTCGACGGCTATCAGCTCATATTCGACTCGAGTTCGTAGAATAACTGTTAAATATTTCATATATTTTTCCTGCTCTATGCATGACCATATGGTTAATACAAATTTGATCATTTGATACATGAAATATACACAGTACTTCTGCTAAGTTGTAACTTTCAAGCGTTCATACCAAAATATCATTACCTCTACCAGAGAAAGAAAATAACTTACATTTTTCGGCTGGGTCTTTTCAAAGTGTCTTTCACAAACGTGAAGTGTTTGTTGAGCGATTTGATTTCTTAAACTTGCATCTATCTCTCGATCCAGCGTCCTTTGTGACAAGCCTCGCCAACGCTTCGCGAAATTTCGTTGATAAATCGTCATTTTTTGTTGGAATTCAAAAAATACTGACACCAAAGTGTTTTCTACTAGTCCCGCAACCATGTATGGAGCAATTTGCACCTGGTATTTGGATATTCTTTCTGTAAAAGACGTTTTTCAAGTACTACAGCCTCCTCTGTAATACAATCTCCTATTACTAAATAGATTTTGATGCACCCGTATTGTCACGTGACAGAGAACAATAACATAATTTGGCCACGCCCCCAGTTTCCAAACCCTCTCCTCTATTAACTATGGTTAATTCCACCACCAGGGGTTTCATTATTTTTGAAAGTAGCAGGCTCGTTTTAGAAAATAGGTGGCGGAATATGGAATGGAGCTATTAGCATTTGTTGGGGGGGGGGGAGTCCAATCCAGTATCGTGCGTCTGTGCTCTGCCTCCAGTAGTAGCCAGTAACGTTTAACTTGTTTTTGGTTTCGGCTTGTGGGTTAACATACAAGAATTAAGAAACACCTCAACATTGAAGAAAATTCAATAATACAATTAAATTAATATTATTTAGTCACTGCCATATATTAATATAAACAAATTATATAAAGGCATAGCCATTAGCCATACAGACATTACATGCACATTACATTGTAAACATAACAAAGTTAAATGATAATAAACACATTTATTCATCATCTTCAGAACTTGAGTCCGAACTATAAAGGTAACTGTCCGATTGAGGTATATTCATCAATCTTAGAGCATCATTTACTTTGTCTTCACTCTCCAATAGACTCAGTAGTTCATGTTCATCGTCGCTCTTTTCATCTTCCTCCATTATATTCAGCATGTTAGTCAAGACCATAACGAGGCTGCAGTCTGCTGAGGAAAGAACATAACTATCAGGATCTACTTGTTCTGAAGTAGATCCAGTGCTGATAAGTGCTGTTTTTGACCCACTATCAGTCTCGTTTTTATCAGAAAAGCAAGATGAACTTGTACCTATGACACAAAAGGTGAGAACTGAGAAGGGGGTAAAGTTTTAAAATTAAAATAGTCCTTTGTTAAATAAAATACATAAAAACTATAAATTTATGCTTTCAATTAAAAATTTACGTCGTATCTAATATATATTGATTTAATATTTATTCATCTGTTTCATGACAACTTGTAAAATAGAACCTTTCAATGAAACAAATTGCTTATTCACCTGCATTTGGTCTCCATCGTTTAAAGTATTATATTCTTGTCTAGTAAAATATTCTTGTCTAGCAAAACATCACAATTAATATTTACTTCCGGTTTCTCTTCACCGTTTCAAGATGGCGGACATACGAAAAAATAGTCATTAATGACAAGACATTTTTAAACCACTAAATCATCTTCACATTAATGAAATATGCTTTCAAGGAAAAAAAACTGTTTGAATAGACGGTAAGAGCACACATTTAGTAGACAAGTGTAATTTCTATTAAAGTTAATTCACTTATTTAAAACATTTAAATTTCACACGAAGTGTCGAAGTAGCCGGCGGAATTTGCCAGCATCTAATGAAATCCCTGCCATCGCCCTTCAGGGCAGAGCACATTGTTAAATCCAAGCTAAATTTTGTTAATCTCCCGCTATGTCCGGGTGTCCGGGTCAAATGACTGAAGCATAAGAACAACACAGATGTCACATTTGGTTAATCTTGTAATCTATAGGGTTAATTCATTTACACAATTAATTAATCAGGGGTGGAAAATATAGCAGACCTTTATGCTGGCAGATCCAAGGATAGTGTGAAGTTTCAAATTGAAAAAGTCACTGCAAGAACTGTATCATTTACAGTTACATATTTTATTTACAGTATTTCAGCACTACTTTCGGAGCAACAGGATTCCGTTGCAGATCGGAAGAACAATTGCCTCTTGCGAGTCGTGACACATGACCTACAAGGCTATAGGCTAAGCTAATGCTATTATAATCCCTGTTAGTAGCTTCACATTTCACACGAGTTGTGGGCGGCTGTAGTATTTTTATTAACTATGCTGTAAGCAAACAAAATGTCGAATGGGAGACATTTCTGTATTTCGCTATTTAATGTCGGTAATCAGGTTTACATGAATCTTCGTGAGAGAAGATATTATTAACGTTAGTTCGTCGAAGAATCAGTTCGCATATTAGTCCCCGAGCCGATGGCACGAAGCGCCGTGCGAGGGTACTAATTCCGCCCGGCTATTTACACCCGGGGCTAAGGAACGCACTAGCCAAGTCTAAAGTTCAGCAAATATCGTGGGCACATGGCTCACTGTTCATGGGTGGTCGTCCTCACTGATCTCAAAATATGTAGCGGACTGTCGTGAATAGTGAACACTGATTGGTGAAATTGAAATTTGCATTATAATGACTGCATTGACGACATCGAAATAACGAACATTTATCATGCAAGTTGTATTTTTGCAAGATTTTGTAAATTTCAAAACCTTTCTGAGAGCCAAAAAACGTCTAAAAACGTCTAAGAGAATAGAGCAAAGTCGCCAACGTTAATGAAGGTACTTAAGTTTGTTTTAAATATTGATGTACTGTTTGTTTTATAATTGATATATTTATAACTGATAGTGGTGGGCGATACTGCGAATATCGAACTGATAGTTATAGTGATACTATCATTGAGTATATAAGTGAAAAAAGACAGGATAGAATTGCAGTGTAGTTTTATTAATTACCCTTTCTTTTGTATATTAAAGTATTTAAATAAAGAGGAAAGCAAAGTTATTTTCATGCGAGAATTTGAAATCAGTTTGTTTCAAACTCAATGTTTACCGATAATTCGAAGGCCGATTAGTTTTAAGAACATTTTAAAACGTTTTGTGAAACATTTGTGGTTGAATTTTACATTAAATTGAAGCTTATATTACGTATAATAACATACCTAGCATATATATGTTTGGGAAATTGATAATTTTGTTATTAAAAGTGATGTTTTGCAGGAATTTTTCAATTTCAAAACTATTCTTAAAATTATCATGTTACCATGACAACTACTTTCAATTCTTCATATTCAGAAAACATAATGTTTTGTCAGTAAGGCAAGGGTTTTTGCATGCATGTATTTTCTAGTATAGTCTATAGCTTTTGTTTTTTGATATCAGGAGGTGACAGTCGATAACCAGTCTACGTCATTTGAAATGTTTATTTCTTGCCATATATTTTCGTTCCTTGTTGGTTGAATGATGATCGTGGCTTCAACATAATGTTTTTCTTCTCTTTCCTCTCAGTTCAGATCACACATTTAAGTTAATCATGGGCGTTGTGTAGTTGTCTTGTAATTTCACTGTGATGACTGACAGTTCACAATGTATGGTTGGGATATGTGCTGGCTTCATGTTGTTGCTATTGGTGCGAACTTGGAAGTCGGTAATTTCCAAATTGTTAGCCACACTTTGAGGGTTGAATATTTGAGGGTTGAATATTTGAGGTTCCTATAATCTCCGTTCAATATGGTCATGATGTCACTAAAATAACGATGAAAAGAAAATTAAATGAGTACAAGAATACTGTAGCTATATACAGTGTCGTAAATTGCGAAGGGAGTCAATTAAAAATATATAAAATCATTAAAACTCACCTTCTTAAAGCTTAGCTTAAGACTTGAAGATTAACTTGAAGCTTGTCGATATTGGGATGCAGTTATTTGTAGTTTATACGGGTCCTACTAAAGAATGCCCGGGAATGCCCGGGGAGATTCGTTGAATGCCCGGGAATTACGTTCATAATTACGTTAGTTTATTCTAATAAAATCACTTATTTTATGAAAGATTAAATAATTCTTGTAATATATGGCATTGCAAAGTACTGTTCACGGAATGTCCGGCTGTCACAAAAGAATGCCCGGGAGTCGAAAATGAATGCCCGCGGTAAAATTACGCAAGTAATTACGATAGTTATAAATGAAAACATTAACAAGTCTTTTATTTTTCAATGAAAGTTTCTTGTAATATATGGCATTGCAAAAACTATTCACAGAAATTATTTATTTGGCTTTGTAATGCTAAATAATAATGAAGAAACATCTTTTTACACTACCGAAAATATATTTCACTGATAGTGATATATTCTGAGTAGATTTGAAAAAGACATTAGCGGTACGTAATTTTCCCCAGGCATTCTGTGAATAGTTTTTGCAATGCCATATATTACTCATTAAAAAATAAAAGACTTGTTAATGTTATCATTAACTATCGTAATTACTTGCGTAATTTTACCCCGGGCATACATTTTCGACTCCCGGCCATTCATTTGTGACAGCCGGACATTCCGTGAACAGTACTTTGCAATGCCATATATTACAAGAATTATTTCATCTTTCATAAAATAAGTGATTTTATTAGTATACACTAACGTAATTATGAACTTAATTTTCCCCGGGCATTCTTTCCCAACTCCCGGGCATTCAACGAATCTCCCCGGGCATTCCCGGGCATTCTTTAGTAGGACCGGTTTATACGTACAGTATATTAAATTTTAACTTCTTGAACTGTTCATTTATTTATTAATAAAAAATATCAAATAAGTGACATGAAAATAGGCTTATGGTCACTAAAGTATGATTCTAAAACACCACTACTTTCACCACGAAATTTTTACTTTTGATTTAGAGTGATAATTTCCTACAACATGTAAATTATTTACTGGTTGGTTTACTTTGAGTAATGCCATTTCTACATGATTATAGTTGCACCTTGAAGGTTCTAAGATGAGTTGTATATTATACACTTAATGTCTGCTCCTGAGGGAAATAGTTTTGTTTTCCCGAGACTAAGTTGAGGGAAACATTAAGATTCGAGGGAAAACGAAACTATTTCCCGAGGGAACAGGCATTAAGTGTTTTGTTATATAGCGACGAACAAAAATCAACTTCAACAACATTCATACAACAATTGTATTTCGTGACAAAAACTCTATAGTGTAAACGAGTTTAAAATTAAAAGAACCTACTTAAACGGTTTCAGCAGTATATCTTGTTGCCTGTTGTGTATTTTTCGTCTCTTTTATATTCTTTATTTTAACACAAACTTGGAAAATCTATGGAAAATCGTAGTTTCTAATTATCTGAGTTGTGCCTCCATTTTGTTTATTTATGTACGTGGCCGGTCGAGGCGGGCAACAATTTTTCACTTGTTGCCCGGCGGGAAACATTGCATTTATCTGAAGTCACATGACCACAAATCAGCCAATCACGTTTGGTGTTCACGCTAGCTATATAACAATGTCATTTACGTAAGCAGCAGTTCCATAAGGTGTTCTAGTATCATCTGTGATGAAGTCATTTCTGAATAGTTTAAATCCTGAATTCATTGTCATCATTACTACATAGAGCAGTTTCTACAAATATATTAATATCTGCTGCTTTTGTATTATAATCACTTGCAACGTCAGCAACGCGAAGATGTAATGATCTCACATTCTGGAATAATATTTTAAATGTCTCACTAGTATCTTTATAGAGAAATGGAAGATGACTTTTAAGTACAGAATTTTGTCTTAGTCTTGTCATTTCTTCTTGTACCTTCTTGCTCACAGCTATTTTCTTTTCATTCAGATTAAGAATATGTAATCCCAAAATGCTTCTAAGTCTACTAAGAGCAACGTAATGCATATGCTCTCGCTTTAACGATGGAAGGTCAACAACAGCTTCATTTAATGTATCTCCTTGACAACGGTGAATAGTTTTGCCTGCAGATGGTCTTAAGGAAACTGTCTGCAAAGAACTTGTATTTTATTTTTTGTAAACTGTCTTTTTACCTCAAGAATTGGAACCCAATTTTTTTCTATACTTTGACAATCTCGTTCCCAGAGTATGCTTGTTCGCGGGTTATGTAGTGGCATGATTGTGGGGAAATCGAATTTTTTTATCCAAAATGAGATAAATGGCGCATGCACTTTTATTGCTCTTGTTTATTCCGCTTACCAAATTCACACGGGCACACGCTCACAATCGAATATATTTGTTTGAACAGATTCTCATCAGAATATCATATACAAAATAGTTTTTTATATGTTTAAAGGTGCTTTAAATCGCACTACTATTAAATTATATTCAATGGCAAATATTGAAATAGCTATTAAAGCTGTTCAAATGTATCTCGGCCATTGTAAAATGGTGAAGATGTTTTGGTTGTTTTGCCAACAGGTTCTGGGCTTATTATGGCAAATATTAAAATATTTCAACTGCTACTTGACGTGTACGACATGTTACTTGGCGTAATTAATTCTATCGTGATAGTCATATCTCCACATGAATGACCAAGGCATTTCTGCATGCATGATAGTATGTCAGTATGATACAAGGCCATTCTGTGCTACACTATACTATGGTGATGGCAGCGATATCAAATTACCATTGGATAGACCACGAGAACCCAATGTATAAGCTGTTCTTATCTATATGCACCCAGAAATGTGTGTCTATGACAAGAAAATACAAGCTTTTTTTTCAACTGTATACTGTAAACCTGTGAATATATAAATGCTCACCTCATTCCAAATATAAGCCTCCCCCTGAATATTATGAGGTGTGATATCCGCCAAAATTCATATATTCAATTATGCAATTGGAAATTGCATTTATGAAGTTCAGTTATGCTATTATGATATTCGATATTATGTTATTCGAATTTCATTCGGCGTGAAACAGTCATTATTGAAATTTCATTCGGCGTGAAACAGTCATTCGGCATGTAACCTGAAGTTCAGGATGGCACTCAGAAACCAAAATTCGACTTCCGGTTCGGCATGGCACTCAGAAACAAAAACTCGACTTCCGGTTTAGCGGGAAATTGTCCACCATGACCGAAGGCGAAGGCAATTTAAGTCAACAAGACAGAAATATAAGTGTTGTAGACGTATTGGAAACAACTGTGTTGAGGAACTTAGACATCGGCGACCAGTATGCCCATACGGCGCAAAAAGATTTCTAAAATTCCCCAACACTCTTTCTGGATTTGATGTATTGACGGTAGTGCTGCCAGATGATGTACGTAGTAGCATGCGATTCGCTTTGAGAAATTACATTTGGACTCGCAACTTGTGCTGAAGAAGCATCATTTGATGATGCAGGATATTTTCTGATCAATCCTGTCGCTTCTTGCAACAAAGAAACAGCACGCTGTTGCAGGGGCGCACATTCAAAAAAAATTTGGGGGGGTGTCCTATTTTCCGGGACCGACTTTTGTAGTATTTGTGTTTGATAAGAAAAGCCAACTATTTTAAGGTGTGCACAGTACTCGTGAACAGTGAACCGGTGAAAGTTCGGTTTAATTAATGTCACAGTCTTGTTATAAATACGATTAATATAAAATTTAAGAGTTGCATGGACGTATGGTACAGGGCCGTAGGAAACTCTTTTCGATTTGGGAGGGGGGGAGAGGCTGAAAGCGAGGGCCGAGGCCCGAGGAAATTTTTAAATTTAGAGTCCCTGCAATGCCATTTCCTGGACTTTGGGGAAGATTTAACAGAATTCTGATAGTCAGAAAAAAGCGTTTTAGCATGTCGAAATTTACAATTTATAGTAGTACTAAATGGCCGAAAGCATATTTAATTAACTATTATATGTTGAATAAGTTGCAGGAAAGTGTGGGTAATACCATGGATTGTAAAATAACATGTAGTTTATTATCCATGGTAATATCTTCATTCTTTGCAGTTTGTCACAGATTAAATGATAAAGGTCTGCATGACATGCGACCCTGTGGTTATTGCAAAGTCGAGTAACTATGTAAAATAATAGCATACAGGGGTGTCAAAAAGTAGACCGTTAGAAATTAACCTGTTGTTCTAAATGGAATTTATAGCCAGTATATTAGCCACAAGCCCACAGTATATTATTAAAGAGTAGTACATTATTAAAGTCAAGAGCTCAAATATAGACAATAATGGTTCAAAATAAATTTATAGTGCGTGCCCACATGATATTCAACTAAGAGTATTAAATATCTGACAACTCAAATTGCTTAGAAAGTTATAGCAATTAGCAATAGATTTCAGGCAGTCAAATCAGTTTTTAAATAGTTCACCTGCACAGCTTATTTGATCGAAAAATGACAATCGGAATTACTTCACACAAATAAGGCGCTCTGTTTTGGCAGCTCGGCCCAACGATCAACAACAGTGTCTGGGTCCATTATATTGTATCCGTGAGATCCTTTTCATATCCAAGAGTGATTAGATCCCTTAGACTTTTTTCTTTCATCACTGAACGAATGGCAGTCTTAATCAATTTAAGCTTCAAACTCGAAAAGCTGCGTGTTCACTCGATGCGGATGTAATCGGTTATCTAAATGTGTATAAATGCTATACACTGCCACATACCTCGGTAACCTCTCTTCGATTTATTAGAACGTAGACTCCTCAAAAATTGCGGATGGACTCATAGACAGGGATAGAATTCCAAGAGTTTAAATAAACGTTTAGTTTTTCAGAACTTCTGCTCTAAACTTTCGGGGGGCCAAAATTTTTTATGGATCTCGAGTGCGAGCGCCGAAGGCGCGAGAAAAATTTTGAATTTCTAGGTTCATTAGAACACTATTTCACGTATTTTAGGACGAGGTTGGAAGAAAAGTTACAACCACAAAAAGTCGCCTAATTTTGTTAGATTCCATTTCCAAAATGTCCACCTATTTCTTTTTCGACACAAAATGATGTCTTTCAGATTTTAGCCGGACCGACTTTTTTTCGTCCCATACAAGTTTCGGGACCGACTTTTTAGATATATTTCACAAAAC